TTTTGTTTGTCCATGTATGTTTTGTGTTTGTTGTAAAAATAAAAAATTTTATAAAAAAAAAAAAAGAACATGTATATCCCATGAGGGATATGCAAATATTCCCATTTGGATAAGATGCAGAAAAAAATAAAGGAACATGAGGAACAATTTTTCCTATTACTTTCCCTCTTTTGAATGGCTGAAATAGATCATATTGTTGTATGGCATCATGCACAAGTAACATATTTAAAAATACTTTCATTTGGAATATTTAATGAGGGTAAAATCATTTATTCTGCTATCTTATCTGTGTTTGCTCAGAGGTAAGTCCCATTGGGATGGGTCCACTTCCTTTTCTGCCAGCAAACTGGCTTCCAGAGGAAATGGGGATGATGATCTTTAATATATCATTGTCACCTGTCCCTTGGACCATGAGAGAAAATTGTCTGGGCTGGGGACTGGAGGTGGGGTTCCATTTCACCTTTTCTGTTAGCAGGACTCCCCTGCTGGATCAGAAACCTCTTGTGGATGGAAGGAGTTTTTCTGTCAACAGGAGGCAGATTTTGGATCAAACTTGTGTACAAGATTGCAATTTTAGGTTGCAAGCTTCAGCATGTGTAACTGGGGAATAAACCCAATTTGGCTTTACTTTTGAGTAAGCATGTTCAGAACAGATATTTGTTACCAAAATCCTATAGAGTTGCAGCTTTTTATCTCCCCCCCCCCTTTTTGACCAATGTAGTCCATGCATCCTAAATTCAGAATTGCTAGGGGTCAGGTACATGAACTAAGCAATGCCCTTCAGAATTGTGCCTTTATTTAGTTGTCTTCTCCAAAGCTTAGCGGAGGTCTTCATGCCATGCTTGATGAGTCTGCAAAAATAAAGAAGAGAACTTTACTGTAGCCCAGTCAAAAGGTGATCAGCATTAAATTACAATGAAGGCATGGCATAATGATTATGAAAAGCATAAGCTTTCTGGGAATGCCTTTAATTAAAGGTTACCCCCAACTGCAATTATTTTGATCAGATCCTAGAAACCCATTGCTAGCAAATGACACCATTTCACCCCAGCAGCAGTATGAGACACATCTGCCGTGTCTCTTGGAATCCTAGCCCAGCCCCACTGTTAGTACAGAAACAGCTAGTGCCACCTGGAAGAAATGAACCATGAGCGCTCACTGACAGAAATGAATGTATAAAAAGGAAAGACAAAATTGCAGGGGCTGGTAGAGAAAAGAAGACATCTCAAGGTTCAGAGTATTTCTCATAGCTTAAGGATCTCTGCATAAACATACAAAGGAGCACTGAAAAGATTTCATCTTTCTGCCTCATTATCTCTGTGAGTTAATCTTCTGTTATCTCATCTGCAGTCAAATATGTAGAACAACACATGGGGAGAAAGGTAGAAATCATTAAACCAGATTGGTCAACAGGTTACAGGTAGATTGCAAAAGAATCCTTGCAAAGTTACAAATTCAAAGCAAATACAGCTGGGGGGGTGGCTTTTTGAAAGCATGAATTGTCCTCAGTTAACCAATATGAAGCCCCTTCCCCCACATGCATACCCCCCCCCCTTCTAGTGAGAGCCATGGCAACCTGATAAACTTCCCCTGGGGTCTGAAAATTCTTGTTCCTGAATGTCAGGTCACAAAGTGGGAGTAGCTGTGCTCCCAAAGCACTGCAGATGATAAGCCTGCAGCCCTGGTACTGAAGAATGGTTTCCTAAATAAGGTGCAAGGGCATTGCGAGAGTGGGGAGGGGAACAGAAAATAGCTCTCTCATTGTCTCTTACAGCAATTTGATTGGAACAATTTATTGGCAAATTGTGTTTGTCTCCCTGCCCTGAAGTAATTCCCCTGCTGGCTTCTACACATTGAACTGGAAAGGCCAGGAGCAGCATTACTTGATTGACTAGAATTATGTTGAGATTGTTTCTGCCCCCTCTGATATATGCAAAGGGCAGCAGTAGGTCTATGACAGTCCTGTGCAGATCCCTACTGATCACCCAAATGAAAATCCAGATCAAAGCTCAAGGACTGTTGTTAAAGTGAGTATAATTGCCTACTGGTTTTTCCATATATGTATTGACTGATCCAATCAGTGAAAACAGCAACATTTGTATAGACTCCTGGATAGCCTTTTCTTCCACAACCAAAGCCCCAGCTTATTATTCCATTAATGGTGTAGTAGCTTGAGTCTTTTGCAGGACAAACCAGCGGACCTCCAGAATCACCCTAGTGAAAAGGAATATAGCTTATGTTAACAAAACCTGTTTGTCAAAGAAGTACGTTTTCAGAGGTTGTCACTGTGATCTTAGCTTATATGTTCTGCATGAAATTTCCAAATATCAGTCGGCTCCTAGTGTCTACATGGACACATCCATTTGTTTTCTTATACATATAGAAGTGCTTTGTCATTGCCTTCCTCCAGGAGTTTCTTCATCTTCCCAATCTAGTCTACAGCCCTGGAATTTCCCAGTAATCTCTGATTCAAGTACTAACAAGCCCAACCCTGGTTAGCTTTTTCACGATCTGCCAAAATTGACAATTAGTAACCCATAGCAACCAATAAGGAGTGAAGAACACAGCTCCTGTTGGTATCCCATTACTGTCTTCTGGTTATTTATTATTCCTCTCATTATCAGCAAATGAAGATGAATCCTCCTAAATTCTGAAGACAGTACAAGGTAGAAGATTATTGCTAATCTATTCTTCCTGAAGGATTCACATTTTAAGAGACATGTCTGTGAAATCAGTCATATAAATTGCTTCCACAATGTTTCCAAGAAGCAGTTTTCATAGCAGAACGTTCCTCTTTAAAGCAATGTATGAAATAGAACATTTTTGTAGGAGATAAGAACTCTGTTTGGGTAATAGGGCTGAATGGGGTGTTCCAATTAATATAGTACTTCTACATCTTTCTTTGTTCCACTGTAATCCATCCTGTGGAGAGGTCTGAAAAGGGCATTTCTCTGCAAATCTGTCTGTATGCACAGAAGCCCCCCTGCCCCGCAGCTGGAAAACCCATTAGATCAGGACTCCCATTCAGGGTGAGGCTTCTAACTACACTCAATCAAATGTGCAGAGAAGTCCCCCTCATACCTGCTCACTTAATAAGGGAAGATGTTGGTGGGAGGGGAAGGGAGGGAAGGGGAGGCAGGTGTGGCAAATGTAAGAAAACAGAAGCAGGCTGATGGTAAGGCTAACATTTGGGCTGCAAAAACCTGGAGTATGATTTTCAGCATCTCTTTGCAGACATCTAGTGGATGTTCAGATTTTTACAGCTAACTTCCTAGCCAGTACATACCCCTGCATTAGGTGTGGAATTTCTTGTTGGGTACAACACATGAACAGAGGTACATTTATTGTCTGTGAAACAGTTCTATTGTCATGGTCTTAGTATTATGGTAGAACTTCAGAATTTGTGAAATGCATATAATGCTAATACTCCATAGGCAGCTTACTTTACATCCATCCTTCCCCCCTTCTTCAGGAAATCCAGCACAAAACATCCTTTTGTTCACAACACCAGGATAATTCATATAGTATTTCTGACATTCTTCAGAAACCAAAATAGGAACTTCAAGTTGATGCAATTTACTTGATATTTCTCCATCTTGAGGTAAAAGAGGGGAAAAACAATAGTTTACAACCCAGAAAGCAGTAAGGGGGACCTTAATTTTTAAGGGGAAGATACGAACTTGTGATATTCAACCTGATTTCATAGAACCTTGGTCTAATCTCCAAATCCCTCTATGAAATCACTTCAGATATCTGGCAAGAGTGATCAATCCTCCCCTGAAGAAGGAGAGGGAGAAAGTGATAACAAAATGGGGAGGGGAGGAATGGGAGACAGAATGAAAAGGAAAGGCTTGCCTACCACTGGCTTTGATGTTGTATGGACCCCTCAACAGATTGCCTATAAGGGAATGTGATTCTTGATATAAAAAAGATCTTCCAACCCTGTCTCAATCTAAGATGCTGAGTTAGTATGTATCATCTTATTATTCTTGCAATCTACTTATTTTCTATAATTGAGCTAGCTTTTTTCATACATTTCCTTGGCTGAAGAATTGGATAAGAATCATTTTGGCTAATCAATTAAGAGAACTTTGTAATGGAAGGGGAAGTGCTCACCTTCATACTGAATGCCCCATCCTGTAATTACACAAATCCTTGAAGGCTCAATCTTCTCATCTTTCTCTGGCAGGCACACTGGATGAACATAATGATTGAATTCTAAAGGCTCAGTAAGTTCCACTAGAGCAATGTCTGAATCCAGAGTACTGATGTTAAAATCTGGATGTGTGATGTATTGCTTCACCAATCTTTTCTACACATGGGAAAATCATGGCAGCATGTTATATGAGAAGTTGGATATTCTCATCAAGTTGGGTGCATTCCAGTTGGTCTATCCGAGACACTGATACAACAGAGCTCAATAGCTCTTTAGAAAGAAATCCTTTCTTTTCATGAGAGGCAAGAACCAGTGATAGAATAAGATAGGCAAAATAGTAATCCACCTCAATGCAAATCTGGCCATATTATATGTAGGCATAATACTTTCATGCCAACCTCTTGCTTGATTGATGCTTCAGCAACTGCTACTTACAAGGTAGAAAAAATAACAAGCATAAAGTTAGGCTAGACATCTGCTCAAAGGTGCTCTTTATGAGAGCAATAATATAGGAGTAGTGCAGGAGGGAAGCAATTCCTGAGTGAAGGGGTTAAATCCTATGCAGCTTGCAGAATTATGCGTACCGCCTGGAAAACCAAGAGTGAGGGCTGGTCCCACATGTCTCCTCTAAAGTGATCTGAACATAGTCATTACATCTTCCTGATCCTGACATCAAGTTGCCCAATTTTTTTAGGGCAGGAGTGTGTAACCTTTTAAACCAAAGGCTGCCTTTAGCTTTTGATGGCATGCTGGGGGCCATGTACTAAAAAGTGTGCAGGCCCAGAACAAATTTAATTTAGTCGTATTTTAATCTAAACTCAAGTATTAACTAAGACGATTTCTTCCCATGTATTTAATAATCCTCACCAATCCATCATATTAAAAATAGCAATCCCCCAATTTTGGTGAAGTCTCTGTAGGCTGTACTTAAAGCATTGGCTCTCAGGCTGCAAGTTATACACCTTTGCTTTTGGATGTAGTCCTATATAATCTTGTCCCACATCACTGGGTGGCTAGGGATATTAGAAACACCAGGCTAAAGGGCAAGACTCTTTTTATTTGTATTAATTGCCCAGTGTTATTATATAGTAATAATATTCAGGCTTGTCCACCGCAAGACAAAATGAGTAAGAGGCTTGTGGGAATCAAATCAGAGCCAACTACACTCTTGCCAACATTTTTCAAATCTACATCTCATCGGTAGACCATTCAACCCAGGCAATTCTTCATCATCTATCATCTATCCAGTCAGTACAATACAGAGCTGGAGCATTCTTATTTCAAACAATGATACATCAAGATTCATGAGGACCTGGTAACAATCAAGCCTCTACATTTAATTATTCATATTAAAACTCCTTATTTACTACACCATAGATAATAGAAAGAAAACCAAAAGCTGGAAAAACAGAGAGGAAATAATATCCACAAATCAAAGAAAGCCATTTTCCAGCCTAGCTTTCCTAGCTACAGGTAATCCAATCCTGCAACAGAACCAAGGAGTTTTAAGAGATCTGTTAGGCTGGAAACTGGTAAATGCTGATTCAAGTAGAAGTCATAGCTAATCGTGTGAATCCTTCAACTGAATACAGGTAAATCCCCAGTTTAAGAATGAGTTCCGTTCCAAAGGTCTGTCCTTAAGTCGAATTTGTATCTAAGCTGGAACAGTATTATTGGATAATATTGTATAAGTAGTATTGTGTAATGGACTTGAACCATTGTGTGTTTAACTTGAATCGTTGTGCATTTAACTCAAATTTTGCTACGATAGGCTCCGGCCTTAACTATGGATCATCCATAAACCAGGCATTCTTAACCCAGGGATTACCTGTACTTCAATACTTCAACTGAACAAGTTTGAGAACTTTCATATTGTTTCAAAATCCCATAAGACTGGCTTCACTAGAAACATGCTTCTGTGTACAGTATTATAAAATGCAAAATAGTTCCTAAACCATTTTCAGTTCAACTAAAAATGATCACTTTCCTTAATTACACTTATAGCCTTATATGTGTGCAAAAGCTGAAATCATCGATTATAGAGTTCTACATGTTCATGATCTAGTTACATTATTTCATAAAGAAAGAACAACTTGTACTAACTTGGCTGCTCTGTTCTTCGTCTCTTATATCATGAATGCCCACCACCACTCTCCAAAGATCTTGATATTTTCCCCTAGAAAAGCAATGTAATTCAAGAAACCTCAAGATTGCTTTAATCAGCTGAAGCATAAACATCTCTCATACTCCCCTACACAGCTGTTCTTTGGAAGATAAACAAAAGTACTGAATTTTAAGTAAGAATCCAATATTTATCACAAACCAAGTAAGTTCATATTGCCACTAGGCGTTATAATATGATTACATGATAAAAAAAACTTCAATATATTTGGTATGTTTATTCAATGTCTAGGAAATGCCCGGTCACTTGGTAGGGATGAAACTTCCAATTTATTTTATAGAGCTTCAGTAATAAAAAGAAATGAGATATAAATATTATAATTGTCATGTAGCAACAGGCAGCCACATAACTATCAACATTTATGCAAAGAGGGGACTTTTGTCATTAAACCCACAGAATAAGTATCTTACCCAATTAATATAGTTCAAGTTGCAGAAGAGAGTTAAGAATTAGATGCCAGTATAATAAGTGACCCAAGCCATGAGTATGATTGCTCTGAAGTTGAATCAGAGTTGTATGAATACTATGTACCTTAGTATTCAGAATTACAAGATAGGAAACAGTTGTCTTGAGAACTGGAGTCCATTTGTCAAATGTATTGTGGTGGGTTTGATCAAGTACAGGTAAGAAACTTGGTATGGGTGTTGGTTACAAGTGCTGATTTGTTAGCTGAATCTTTTAGAGAAAACAGGACTTACTCCATATTCTGGTTATATCTCAATTAGACTACTGCAATATATGAGGCTAAGTTTAAAGGGGATTTGTAAGTTTGGTTGTTGGAGACAGCTATCAGTGTCCTTTCAGGGAATTGGTACATGAAACGTTCATTCTGGTCCAACAGCACTGTGTCAATCTGCTGATGCCTAGATTCTTAGATCAGCCATAAAGATTCAGTTCACATGCTGGCTGGTTAGAGCTACGGCATTAGGCTGATGGGCATGAGAAAGACCTTTTCTGTGGTTGATCGCTCTTATTGAATGTTATATAATGCAGTTTTGTTTTAAAGGGGGCCTTAAAGACTTGGATGTCCATGATTCCTTTTATAAGAATAGATGACGGGCTTTAGTCATCTGCTTTTAGTTTACAATTTTGCTGCTGTGCTTCTGTTTGTTTGTTCAGCTTGAACTCAGCATGGCATACATAGCGTTCCCAGCTCCTATTTTTAATTATTTGTGTTGGAGTGTGCTTGTTCATTAGTTAATACAGAATATAATTAATACAGAATACAGAATTAATACAGAACACATTTCTGTATTCAGTAAGATACAAAAAGAAAGTCAGTTTCCAATAGTGAGGCTGGGGGGAGTGGGGGGTTGTACTGGTGAATTGCAACTTTATTAATTTAGAATAGGCTACACATTCTTTGAAAAATAGCACAAATACAAGTTATATAAGTTATCATAAATTTCCCATATATTTTCCAACACTGTTGTTGACAATTTTGTAGGAAAATTTTGAGTATGTATTTTAAGTAAAGCTCAAGTGATTTCTTATCAGAGTAACTGATATCCCGATGAACTATCTGTCCAAAGTAGTAAATTAACTTATACAGGGAGTAATATTCAGTCTAAGATGAGATCTTGAAAATAGTCTGCTTCTATAACTACACATTTGGCTATTCCCAAAGATTTTAAAGATGTTTCCGACCATCTCAATGGAGAGATAAAGAATCTTTTTATGATAAGCTGTCATCCAGCCATGAAGTTCGTTTACATTCTTCAGCCAGGTCTTGATTAATAGGACAGCAATACTGTTGTGTGCGTGAATATGTAGGGATTGTTACAAGCCTTCCAGAGACTGAAGTGCCATGAAAGTTCAGTAAATTAAAGCTGCAAATGAAGTAGGTCTTGCACTAGCAGAGAAAGACCACAAGCTGTCAGCAAAAATCAACTTCATTTTTAACATAATAAAAGTGGATATAATACTGAATTTTCCAAATCTAAAAAGGGTTGTTGATGACTGAAATTTAGTTGGATAAGTATATTACATTTTGTGCTCTTACAACCACAAAGAAAAAGTTATAAGAGAAACTGTGTTTTTACACCTAGGGTCAACAAGCTACCACTGTTTCTTTTCTTTAAAAAAATATATTGTTTATAGAACTTGTTAGCTAACCCACCTCCCGTCTTTTAAACAGATAGTTCAGACTCACTATTAGATGGTTACTTGATTGAATCAAACCTTGAATAAGTGACATAACTGTTTCTACATAATTACAAAACTATTCTCTGAAAGCTAGCAATCAGGGAAATGTTCATTACAGATGCAAAAAGAAGCAGATTTAAGTTATATCACTCTGGCCGTAGTTAATGTGTCTACGTACGTGGGCACTTGTAAGTAGATATACAGAGCATTGCACTGTAATTAATGCATTTGCTAATGTGTTTTTCACATTGAATAGACTTTGTCACTCTCAGAACTAACGTATAGCATCCATATTGTACTTACTCTTCTTTGAAACAGTGAGCAGCAGTGACCACCCACGTGCTTGTGAGAACTGCTCCACCACAGATGTTTTCATCCAAAATCTGCAAGCTGGCTTGCCAAGGCCAAGAATATGGCACAGCTTCCTCACCGCCAACTATCCGACTAAAGAGAAATCTGGGCTGATTGAATGCTAGCCCACAACTGTCATCTGCGGACAGAGAAAAGGGGAATGCAGAGTTCAACATTCTTCAAGGAAAGCACAATGCCGCTTACCCTTAGCTTACTCTTTAGATTGCTTAGGAGTAGCTTGTACTGATCTAATACTGCACAGTTGGTTCTTTTCGGTAGGGATTGATGAGACTATTCTCTAGGCAAACTATCAGTAACTACCTTGCAGCAATGGGGACTTGCCAACTCTAGAAGTTGGTGTCAGGAGGAAGGAGAGGGGGAGGTGTGCAGTAGGTATCCCAGATAAGAGCACTTTGACCAAAGGGATAGTAGTTCCATCTGATGACATACAGCCGGTGTCCATCCTCAGATGCCTAGACACTCTACAACTGTGCAGTGGCAAAGTGATGGCTACCGCGTCCCACCTCCAACCACAAAGAGGAAAGTCACTTCGCTGTGGCCACCCACAATTCTTGCTAGAAAAATACTTGATGACCCACCACTGCTATGCTATCACTTTATACTTTCTTTTGCTTCTCCTTAAAGTGTTTCCATTATAAAGGAGCCCTTTTGTAACCCAATAGAAAGAGGGTCCAATGGCCAATCCTTTGTAAAATAATTTACAAAAGCCCAGGTTTTTAATCTGCTGTGTCCATTGTTAAGTAAGTGGATTCATCCATGCATTACTTATTAGCATAACACAGTTTCCACCTAGACTTGGTGTGTGACAATAGAATGCATACAGTATTTTGCATAATCATCACTTTGCATGTGATATACTGTATAACGCATTTATTCCAAGAATATCTACAGATTAAATTCTGGATTTCTCTCTGCTTTCCTTTTGCCCTTCTTTGTGCCTATTAAATGAGAAGCATATTTACCAGGCATGTGTGTTTCATTTGCAGGCTCACTGATTTCTTCAAGTACCATCACTCCACTGCTTGAATCTGTTACATTTAAATCTAACGAAACCAAAAGAGCAAGCACACAGAAACGTTCTCAGAATTCCTGAAATGAATGTTATTCTGCCTTCAACAGGAAGGATAAAAATTCAGCTTACAACTATATGCAGAGAGGAAACTGATTTTATTTATGGTCTGTAATTTGGAGCACCATGGCTAAATTGCACTTCCATATTTTGTCTGTCTTTATCTTACTACGCTGTAGATGTATCAGAACAAAGGACAGCTCGAACTTGGAGTGGCAGATGAAACTGGTAAATGAAATCAGTATTAAAGTAATAGTGGCCTTTAATTAGTATCACCATTACTTCATCCTCTTAATAAGTGGGACCAGATTTCCTCAATCTGAAGTTGTCTGGATGTGTTAATACTGAATGCCCAAATCTGAAGAGTAGCAGGTTGCAGAAAGTCTGGTCTAAGACATGTCATGTACCATGACTTAGGTGCGTAGGAAACAAGGTGGCGTACTGTAAACACAGAGTGGCAGGTTTTGAACTTGGTTCCAGAATTGTAGATTAGCTTTCACCTTGAAGAAGTTACCATTTCCCACCATTACGTACCACTTAGATTTTCTGATATCAAAGTTTACCTTTGATATTAGAAAATAATTCAGAGGCTAAATAATAATATAATGATGATGATGATTATATAATTATAATAGGTATATTATATACCTATTATATTATAATTCAGAGGCTACATAATAATATTGCTCATAGAAACCACTTATATGACTTTAATATACTTCCGTCGACTGGGAAAGTAATTTTGAAAGAACAGTTTGCCCAAGGCTATATAATGAAAAGCAGGAGTGGCAAACCATCCCTGATTTAAGCACATCTGTTCTGAACTCAAATCCAAAGACTATACTTTAAAAAAGAAAGACTTAAAAAAATAAAATGGTACAAGATATAAAATAATATATACCAGAGACACTCAGATATGATGGTCCAAAAGCTGCAGTATAGGGTGTTCTTAAAAAGACTGCAGGACAGTCAAGAATAGCTATGATCAGTCCTGTATGGATTTTTTTTTTCCAGTGACAGAAATCATGACCAGCTAACTAGGAACAGGACAGAGGAACATCAGACAATGTCTTATACCAAGTCATATCAGTGAACCATCTAGCCCAATGTTGTCAGCACTGATTGACAGGCTGTCTAGATTTTCAAGTAAAAAATTTTCCACCCCTATCTGGATATACCAGGGACTGATTTCTGAATGTGACCTGAGACTAAGAGGCTATCCATGCTAACAATGTTGTCATAAATTGCAGTAGTAACAACTGGGTGTTTGTATTAATCACTGTTCTGGATGGCCTCTAAAGCTGGCTAATTTTACACCTCACTTCATTAATTCAAACATGACATGAGAAAGGCAGGAGAAATATGGATTAGGCATATGACTTGATTTGTTAGAACAAAAAATGTATTAATGATCCACTGGAATATCTAGCAATTTGGAAGCAGTTTGTTGCCATAAACAACATATTGCAATGGACAGAATGCATTATGCATATGTACGCAGAACTAAGACACACCTACACACAAACTATTTTCTTTACCTGCAATATCAATGAACACAAATACGGCTTTGAATCCACTGTAGGTCTCTGTTTCATCAGAATGAAACTGGATAAGCATGGTGTTAGAGGAACTCAAAACTGGTGCTGGGACAGCAAATCCACATGATCGAGCTAAGAAAATGAATGAATGAATGGTAAGATTTATAACAATAAACTACCACTTTTTAAAAGACAAAATACTAAAATCAACACAGTATCTTCAGTTTGGCATTCTCAGTGTACTGAACATTCTACATGAGTACATGCAGGACACAATAACGACTCTCTGTGGTTATATGTCTGGGTGGCAGGTTTTGCTTGGTTACCTGCTCCACACAACGTCAACTTTTTTGAAACTGCCAATAACCTAGTGTTAGACTTTATTGACTTTACTGATCTGTTTGGAAAATGTGGTCCTCTTGCTTTGTCATTTCCCCACTCCATCTCATTAAGGTGGTAACAAATGGTAAGTTTTTGTTTCACCGATCATTTTTTAAAAATATGCAAGAAGGTTGTTATCTTATAATGATATTTAGTTAGTATAAATAGTAATGAATACTAGTATTAATAGGGAATCAGAAAAGCAAACCATGCATTTTTCAGCTGATAGCTGATAGCTGACACCTGTAAAGCCAGTCAGCTATACCAACCTTCTTAATTTAGGCCCTTTCTGCACATACCCAAGAACCATCAGATCTGAATCAACCCACAATTCAGATAAGAATAGAGCAAACCTATTTCATTCTCCTTTGCAACATTTTCATAGACTGTCACTGAGTCATAAGTGCAGTCTTCATTTTCCTCCAGTTCAAAATGTTCATATATGAGCTTCAGAAAAATAAAACAGGAAAAAATTGAAATTCATCCAAAACAAAAGAATTTGACTTCAAATAAATGTATTTTTATTTTCTTATTCTTGCAGATCTTACTGTTACCAAACAGTTAAACCATTGCCCTACCCTTGGTCCTTAACAAAAACTTCTTCATTGAAACAAAACACAGGCAAATGCTGCCATCCTCTTTTCAAGAAAATGTGCAGAAGATGGGGTTGTGCATCCTTAAATATAAATATTAAAAATTGCATTTTACAAATGTTTAACACAAAAAAGATCCAGATTTAGTGGACTGCAGTTCAATATACTGGCAAATCTCAAACTGAGAGTAGCAATATCCTCATGTGGCCCAAAGTTGTAAAACTTCAGTTATCAAGATTGATATAGAAATAAACAGATTTAAATCTCATCTGCTTTTATGAGATGTAACCAGAATGACAGGGACATAGGACAAAAGCCAGGTTCAAGGTAGTCAAGCTAAAAATGTTGGATTTTAAAAAATCTAATATAAATACAGATAGATATATAGATATATAGATATATACACACAAATTCAAATAAATTCAACTTTAACATAAATTCAACATTAATGATCAGAAAACGTGCCAATAGAAGGTTGTGCTACTTTGAACATTTGAACCAAATTAAACATACATAAACTTTGATCCAAAGAAACATTTTATGCATATGACTTATACCTTGACGACATGGTTCTCTGGAGCATGAACAATCCATTGGCATTCTGCCAGGTTATTATACACTTCAGGATAGTGCATGCTTTGCACTATTCCCTCTTCAAAAAGGACTGCTAGGGATCCACAGCCAGAATCTAAAAAGAAACCAGAATTGCACTGAGTCAAAATAAATAACCTGTTTCAAACCTTCACTTAGAAGGTTATGTTGTCCTATCACACTATGAAATATATGCACATATTTTTGATGCGTCGAACATGAATGGTACTTCTTCATGAAGTATAAGGTGTGGAACCATAAAGACCACATTTATGTTTTGGGAGAGAGTGAGGGATGCAGGGTGGGTGGGGCTCCAAAATGCCATTCTATTCTTCATAAGTATTCTTATATTTGAGATACTTCTTATACAGTATCTCAAATCAAGAATAATCTTAATATGCACAATGGATTTATTGAGATTATTAATATTTACCTAGAAGACTAGCTGGCTTAACAGCTTGGTATGTCATGGCAAATCCAGTTCCTTCTTCCTTATTATCTGAGACAAATTTCAGTCTTACACTATTCGAACCAATCAAAATTGGTAGTGGAAGGTCCATTCCACAGAATTTCCCTAAAAGGCATAGATGTAGAAATGAAGATATTGATACACATAGATCCTTAACAAAAACTTCTTCATTG